GAAAAAAAAAAAAAAAAAAAAAAAATCGTGCTGCTTCTTTTTCCCCCCAACTACCCTCTCGCCCACATATAACAGGACTCACCCAGAGGCAATGAGCACCCGGGACTGGGCAATGGCCAGACGCTGGAGGTGGCTGCGGTTCAGGGTGCTGAGGCCAGGACGGGATGCCTTCCCACTGCCGGCGCCAGGGGGGCTGGCATTGGAGCTGGCTGAGCTCAAGGTGGGCGTGCTGGCTGCCTGCCGCCGGCCCCCTTGGGCAGCTAGCGGCTTCAGGGAGCCACGCGCTGCGGTCATACTGTCAGGCGCCTTGGCCCCTGGGGCCGGTGCTGCGGCTTTGGGGGCAGCAGGTGGCACAGAAGGGGCTTTGCGGGTCTGCAGCGTGGCGGTGCTGGGGCCAGTGGCCGACACTGTGGCTTTGACACTCATCACCAAGAGGCACTGGGGACAGGCGCAGGCGGGGACCGGGGGGGCTGCCGCCGCCCCAGGGCTGGCTGGCCAGGACTGTGACTTGGGCAGAGTGCCCGAGACCAGTGGGTAGACCATGTCAAGGCGTCGGCGGACGCGGCGCTTGCGCTGGGTCTGCCGGTTGATCTGGCCCATGGTGGCAAAGTCGATGACATAGCAGAAGCCAATGGTGCTCAGGTCCACCCAGGGATGCTGCTTCTCATAGGCGCGCTGGATGGTGATGCCCACATCCATGTCGTAGGGTGTCCAGGACCCGCTGTCATTCTCCCACTCCCACACAACTCCCTTGCCTGGCGCTGATGACGGGTCGTAGTAGCTGCGCCGGACAGGGCGGATAGTGCCTGAGGGAGGGCGAGAGATGCCGTCAGACCCTGGCACTCACCTGTGGGCAGGGAGCGAAACCGCTCCAACCTGCCCCACCAGTGCTGCTCAGCGTGGGGACAGGATAGCTTCCCGGCTCAGCTGTTGTCCCCACCCTGCCAGAGGACTTCTGTGCTGTGGGTTCCCCAGGCCACTGCCTGAAGCTGCCCCACTGCTGGTGCACCTGAAGGGCCAGGGAGTCCCCAGGCTGTACACACACAGCATTGGGTGCACCCCCAGTGTGATGGGAGTGAGGGGAGGGCAGATTTCACCCCCATTGGTCTACAGCGGCAGCCGCCCGCCCAGCCCCAGCCTGCAGCCGCTCAGCCCTGATAGGGAAACAGAACCACAAGCTCAGCGGCTCCAACCTGCTCCCAGGGATCTCCCACAGGACCCTGATGACACCAGGCATGTAGGCACCGGACTCCTGCAGGGCCCTGTCTGCCTCTCAGCTCAGGACAGGGGAATAAAGGATTTAAGGGGCAGCTCTGAGCTCCGCCATAGTGACTTGTGTAGGCACCCACATGTGCAGGGGAGCAGGGCTTGCGCCAGGCCACCCGTCCTGCAGCTGCCAAACTGGCCCATGACAACAACCCAGCCCACGGGACAGGAAAAATCTCCACGATGCTGAGCAAAGGAGTCTGAGCAGGGGCCCATGCCCGGCTCCTGCTCCGCCATCAGCGAGCATTACAAATGGGATGAGAGCACAAAGCATGAAGGCTTTGTGGCTTGCATCCCTTATTTTTGCTAGGCGGTTCCTTTCCTACTGCTCCCAGTCGACAAGGATGCATTCAAAGCATGACGCAAATTTTGGAAGCGTCTACAATGAGGAAAAAGCCTTCCTCTTTGGGACGTTTCATGGCACAGCAGAGCCGGCTGAACACGGCTGGGGTCAGCCTTGGGGCCTGTCCTGAGCATGCTACTAGCACCCAGAGTTGTTTGGTTAATAGGTGGGATTAGCTCACAAACATCACTGCCTCCATGCTCTTCTGCAAAACCCCATGGCTTGGTCCCGCTGCCAGAGGTAGGAACAAAAAAGCTCAAAGAGAAGAAATAATAAGCCTGCTTCTTCGGCTTTTCACCACGTGTCTTGCAAAGCCTGCAAGAATTCCAGTCCCTTTTCACCCCCACCTCCCCACTGGGAGCAGCCACCACCATCGGTCCCCACACAGGACCACTTGCCACACAAAAAAAGTGGGCTAAAAAGGAAAAGCTGTTTGTTAGCACTAACCACAGGCACACATCAAGCACCCTGAAATGCAGAATGAGGTGCAACTGCACCCAGGCAAGCCAGGCCAGCGTCCTGTGAAGGAGCACCCAGGGCAGGAAAGCCACCGGTGCTGGAGGCACAAAGTGCAGCTGGAGGGGAGTGGGGCAGTGATTTATCCTAATCTGGTGTGAGGTGGGGAGGGCGGCAGTGGCGACATGCGGCATCTGGCAGTCCCCGGGCGGCGGTGTGGGAACACTGTGCATCCCCCCAGCCCAGCACGGCCAGCCAGCCTCCCATTCAGCACGGGAAGAAAAGGGACAATAGCTATTCAGGGCCTGCCAGGGTCGCGACCCCCCCAAATCAGAACTGTTTAATGACCCAAAATACCAACATCCCCGACAACCCGAAGAGAGACAGAACAATCCCCCTTTCAGGCCTCCTCCCCAGGCAACAATAGCCCTCAGAGGCTGGCCCCCAGCCCTGCCGCAGAGGTCCCTTGTCCCCCACACCCCCAGGCAGGGGAGGGTCCCCATCAGCTCTGGGCGCTGATGAGGAAAGGAAGACAAAGGACCATGTCTGGGACCCCACTGCACCCAGCACCCCCTGTCCCAGGAACACGGGACATTGGCTGGTCCCCTTCCCATGGCCACCACCGGAGTCTTGGGGGGGCACAAGTCCCCTGTGACAACCTCTCCCCCATGGGTGCCTCTGCCCCACATCCCAGACACCCCTAAGGCTGTATTCCTCCCCGCTGCCATCACCCTGGTGACCTCCGTGCCTGCTTGTTGCCACCACCACCACAAATACCCCTCTTTGCCTGCCCAAGCAACCACTCTGGGGAGCCCCCACTTGCCTGTGCCCTCCCTGAGCAGACCCTATCTGCCTTTGCCCCCACCATGGGCACCCCCATGGGCTGCCAGGACCCAGGACAAGATTTAGCCCCCAAATGCTGAACAACACCTGGCCTTTGGGGCGGATGGTAGCTCTGAGATAGCACAGGGGAAGCTGGGTATGGTGGGTCCGGGCTCTGGGAAAGGTCTAGAGGAGATGGGCTCCATGCACAAAGGGACCCTGGGCTGGGAGAGGAAAAGGCCATAGCAGTGCAACAGGGAGGAGGCTGGGCAGCAGGACCCCGCAAGAGTCTGGGGACACGTGGACAGGGGCGGGCATCAGAGGATACGGCAAGCACCTGGGGACCAGGCAGGATGGCATAATGCAAGCTGGCAGTGGGCGACCCTGGGCACTGAGAAGCAGAGCTGAGCAAGTCTCGGGCAGGCAGAGCAGGGTAGTGCAAGGCAGCGTAGGACCAGTGGATGCAATCCAGGATCAGGCAGCGTAACACAGCTCAGTGGCACAGCCAGCAACGCAACAGGAGATGGGCCATGGCACAGGGCAAGGCAGCACAGTGCCGTACTGGGCTGGGGAAGGCAGCGCAGCCCAGCCCAGCCCCAGATCAGGCCGTGCAATGCAGCGTGGGCCCCAGCAGCACAGCATTGTGCAACACCGTGCAATGCAATTCCAGGTCAGGCAGCGCCGTGCAACACCAGCCCTGGCAGCAAGGCACCGCACGGTGCAACTCTGCGCCAACCGGCGCCACACAATGAGCACCCGGGAACACAGCGCAAATCCCGGTCAGCCGCGTCAGGCAGGAAGGCACCCGACTGGGCAGCGGGGACCCGGGCAGAGCGGCCGGGCGGGTCCCGGGGGCACGGCGCGAGGCAGGGACGCGGCGGAGCGGGGCGAGGCGGGGCAGCGCGGGAAGGCGCCGCACGGTGCGGGGCAGCTTCCCGGCGGGCAGCGAGCGCTGTGCCGTGCCGTGCCGGACGGGACCCTCGGGCACCGGGGCAGCGCGGGGCCAGCCGGGGGAGCCCGGTGCGGCGGGCAGGCGGGGCCGCGCGGCAGCCGGCGACACGGAG